ATCATTGAGAAATTCCCATAACATCGAGGGAGGCAAGTCTATATTCAAGTTTATTGGCTCATCAAGCTTACACTTAGCAATGGTTTCTTCAGTACAGAGTGACCAGTAGTATTTCTACCCTCCCCTGGATGGGATGCTAGTCCATTGCAGGGTTACCCTAGCATTAGATTCATTGTAGGTCATTTAAACCGTTAAAATCAAGTCACACTCTTGCCCAAGAATTGCAAGAATGCAATTCTTGAAACGTTAATGGTAAAAATGCTGACGAATGGCAAATTAAAGCAGTTAAAAAAGCCAGTGATTAGTAGGAGTTTATAGATTGGTGCATAACGCTGGTTGCACCAGGATTATGCACCACCTGGTTTTGAGCTCAAGTTTGCAGCACTGTGCTGTTCTTTGTATTTAATAGCCATGTGCTTATTGATATCTTTGCTCCCACTTGAACTACTTACTTAGGAGTGACGCCATGCTTAATGGGGGAAGCACGTATTTGAGTAAATATACATTATTAACACCCCCCCCCCCCGCCTTTGATGGGAAGCTGGACCATTGTGGGGTTAACCCTAGTGCCCATTTATACACTAGGGTAGGGGAGGGCACCCTAAGGGTACAGCACCCTGCCCAAGAACACAACTGTAACCAGCATGTGAACTCAGACTGGTCAATTTCGATTCCAGCACACTAACCAGAAAGCCAACACTTTTCCTTCAAGCAGTTTTTTGATGCATTGAATTGTTCAGTTTCTGGCGGCCATTGCTCTCTTTTGTGATGTTTTCTTTTTGTCATTATATTACAGAGGAAGCTGAGCACATCATGAAAGAAGAACGAGCATTCCTTGAACTTCCAACTGGAATGCCTGATTATCAATCAATTGAGGAGGCAAGACTGAAGGCAGAAGGAAAATCATCCTAAACACTCTTTAGTCTCATAAACCAGTGCAGCTGAATGCATGATATACCTCTGTGCATACAACGTCTATTACTTACATGTACACAAATTATAATGGAGACTCTTTCTTCAGT